AGTTTATTATTATTATATTTTTTCAGGTAATTGTGAAAGCAATTATTCCTGCATGCTGTGAAAAATAGCCATCAATTTGATGAGTACTACTGGAAAACGTTCTAGACAAATTATATTGAAATAAACTACTCGAAATGTATTGAAAATGTTGTCAATRTTTACTGAATGCCTATCCAGTATAAAGAATAACGTATATCATTGAATTCATAGTTCTACAAGCCCTTCACGATATATTCTATATGCATGTAGCCCCCATAAACGAAATGTCCCTCCGCTTGTAATAAAAGTTTATTTTGTTTATTTTAATTCATTATGCGCTTTGTGCTCGGTTATCACTGAATTCTCAAGTTCTTTATTAATGTGAAAGACCAAAGAAAGTCTCCGTTTTGCATGTCAAATTATCATATAATCAAAATTTAGAACATGGCGACCTAATTATTCTTTTTACAGCCAAAGAACGAAAAGACTCACTTAAAAAATTGACTCTCAAATTTCTCGAGTAATGTCGTTCAAATACATGCGAAAGTCATTGATYCTCCAAATACATAGAATTTTTATTTTGCACCATTTCAAGGATTAAATGAGTTCAGTCTACTAAGCTAACACCAGGGGGGGGGGGGGGGGGGGGGGGGGGGGAAGGCAGGGTGTGATAAGTGTGGCTGTCCACAGAATTMAAAAATGTAGAAATAGAATATATATAGTAATATAAATGAATAAATGAAGAATTAATCTGAATCGGGAATCATTCTGAAAAACAACTAAAGCACGTTTACCTGAAAGAAATTTCACTTTCCGCTATYCACTAATATAAATATTTTTTCTCGAGTCAAAAAATATCGCTATCGGACACTGTTTCAAAAAACCTGATATTYATTAATTGTTTTACAGCCGACTAGAAATCCATTAACTCTAATTGTTTAAGAAACTTTGACTATAAACTTTGTTCCACGGTTTTGCAGTGTTCACTCGAAGATTTATAATATTTATAGATGATTAATTGATGATATGTTGACGATACATAATGGTCTACATAACACATAACTGTACTAGCTTCCTCGTCCCTGATATGCCCCAAAATACTACTCTTTCCCACCCTGAAATTCCCCTTTATACCATATTCGTCATCAAACTCTGGATTTTTCCGCCCTGAAACCAAAAGCTGAGTAATTCTACAGTTTACACAGAATCCTCAGATGTTTTATCAGGACTGAAGAAGGTGAGATTGGTTAAATCTACGACAACAAACTCGCGTCAAAGATATTGCAATTTTCGGAGCTGCCAAGCTGAAACAAAAACAATCCCGCGTCAAACGTTATTGATATTTTCAGAGCTGTAAGTTGTTTCTTTGTGAGAGCATTCCCGCTTTGGCAAGGGTTATGAAATCTTGTCGATTTGTATATCCAGCCTCTGCAGCCTTTCAATGATATTTGGTTTTTACATTTCTTGGATCTTAGACCATCCTTTACAGCTGAACAATTCTACGAGTGCATAAAATACATCTCGGTGAAGACTGAAGTACTCTATACGTGCTAAGATGAAGTGGATACTTGCTTGTGTACTTTTCGCGGTTGCTTTTGCAACAAACCCAGAAGGTAAAACGTGTTTTTTACATGACTATCGTTGTGTTAAATTATTAAGTAATGTTGCCAGCAAAGGTTGAGTATATTCAAAGCACTAAATTTGACTGTAATTCAGTAATATTCAAAACCAAATAGGCCCCACAACAAGGGAACTTTATGAAAGTTTTTATTATTGAGTCATATAAAACGAATTACGCGTGTGCTGAACATAAGAACTTATAATATGATTTTGGAAATGTGTTGGGTTAAGAGACTGAAGTATATTTATCTTGAATCATGTGTTAAAATCTTTCATTTTATTCCTCCAAGAAACTGAAATCGATCCCGATGCCTTTGAGGGTGACATGATTCTGACACCAGAGCAGAAATATGCTGCCATGAATGGTTTGGATATTGATGCYCCTCTTGKACGAGGAGGAATCAAAAATAGAAGATGRCCTGGAGGAGTGATGGCTTACGTTATTGATAGTTCTCTGTGTAAGTGATGGAACAAAATAGATTTATAATGCGATAAATGATCAATTAATGTGTGTTTGTGGAAGAAAGCACATCAGGGGATAACTATATTGAAAGCACCATTCAAATGAATGGAAATAATGATGAAAAAATGAATGAAAAATATAATGTTTATCATAAGCGTTCAAAAATCCAAAAAGCGTGAAAATGAAAGAAATATTGTGCTAATTATTTAAAATTATAAATATTTTGGATAATTTATTAGCAATTATTAATCATTATTCACATATCGATAATTACATTTTTATCACCTTCCAGCTAGGGATAGCAGAGCAATGRCAGCAATCAGGGATGGAATGCAGGAATGGACTTCAAAAACTTGCATCAGATTCAAGAAACGAACCAATGAGCGGGCATACGCCAATTTCAAATTAGGCTCAGGGTATAGATACTTTTGTTCTATTTTTTTGTTTCACATTACTTTTCATTTCGTTTTTCTTATTTTCCATTTATTCGTAAAATAAACGAATATTTCATATTTTCGCCAGCTGTTCCTCATACGTCGGCCGCACCGGAAGCAGGCAAGACATAAATTTAGCGAGAGGCTGCTGGTCTAGGGGTATCGTGGCTCACGAAATTGGTAAGATTGGATTATTCTCTTTGTAAAATCAATATCCAAATAATCTGATCGTTGAGTTATGTATTTAGGTCACGCACTCGGTTTTTACCACGAACAGTCACGCCCRGACCGTGACARTTACGTCACTATCATGTGGGACAACATTATTGAAAGTGAGTTAATCATAAACTTGAAAAAAACATCTATCTTAACTGTAATATTATCATATCTCCTGCCTTCGACCTTTGCTTCAGTCTTCTTGTTCTTCTTTCTCTTCTATTACTTTTTCTTTTTTACTTTTTTMCTTCTTGTTCATCTTTTTTAGYCTTTTATTTTGTGCGTCTTGTTCGCGCCTTGTTCTTCTCGATATTGATGTYGTTCTAGCTTGTTCTTGGTTGTTCAGTRTGTTTTTCCTGAGTTCGATCAGTTGCATTCTTGCATTATTTTGCTCTYCTTGTTTTTATTCTGCAGTCTCCTGTTTAGCTCCACTTCTCATTTTGTCTAGCTTAGTTGAACATTATTATTTCATCATTTTATCCAAGGAAACAAGTTCAACTTCAACAAGTACAATCGTGGAACCATCGACTCTCTTGGTACTCCCTACGACTATGGATCMGTCATGCACTATAGCGCAAGGTCTTTCAGCAAAAATGGCAAACCAACCATCGTTGCCAAACAATCTGGAGTAAGTCTATAGAACTTTAAATCAAGCAACATATAAAACGTGCATGTGAGCTTGCGCTTTATTTTGTTGATTCACCATATTATCGAAAGAAAATACCATTGAATGCGGTCGTGTTTTAGACAGACTTAAATTTTCGCAATCCGTTTCTATTGTTGGTTTTAAGAGAAAGTTTTACCATACTTCAATTCATCGAGCATAAAGGATAATAATATGTCATTTCAATAACTCAAACATTTTAATATTAAAATATCTATTAATATGTTCACTACAAKTTATGTCTTTTTTACAGGTAACCCTTGGGCAAAGAAGAGGATTGAGCTCCATTGACGCCCGGCAAATGAACTTGATGTACAAGAGCGAATGYAGTGGAGGAGGAGGAGGTGGYGGMGGAGGAGGATGTAAGTGTAAATCTGCTAATACCACGGATTAAGTGCGTATAATAAAAGACATTCAATATTTCTTCCCTTACTTAAGACTATCTTTCCCTCTTTTCATTTGTTTATTCCTTCCCTCATTCATCCATCCATTTTAACATTGATGTAGAAACTCCGCAATAATTATCAGGAGGGGAGGGGGAGGGGTTTGGGAATCCAGGGGGGGTCGAATTTCATGTGTTTAAAGAGAGGGCAACGTCTAAAGTTATCTAGAACTTTAATTTTGGTTTTTGGCGATAATTATTAAAGTGGACTAAAACGTCTCAAGAAAATTATAAATAATAAATAAATAAATTCACGGGGGGGGGGGGGGATATAATTTATTTCGTTTACGCGGTGGTAGTAATTAATTTTTTGGGGGATTTTTTCAAGTTGTTGTTTGTGTTTTTAATTGTTGCTTTTTTTCGATCCAGCATCCTGTGCGGATAAAGACAAAAGATGCGGTGGTTGGACAMRTTATTGTTCTTACCATAGATAYGTCAGAGCCAACTGCAARAAAACCTGCAARCTATGCTAGTGGACGACAACACTGTACAACCGGTTGTTCAAGCAACTGACATATAGAATTAGATGATCAATAAACTGTTCAAAACTGTTCAAAAGTGTTGTGTGGCGTCTTGAAAATTKCCCAATTATAGAAATTAAAGCATTTTTCTTATGTTGATTTTAATAASTGACCAGGCCTTGGTGATTGTCTCAGTCCMGAGAAAAACGAATCATTCAAAGCATTTGGGAAATTAAAATTACACRCTTATCTCTGTGATTTATCATTTTTTCTTTTCTAGTTTAATGTCCWCGTTCCCTTTCCAGAAATTTGAGTTGGCTTGCATGTKGAAAACTTTTCTTTCATTTTTTAATTTATTGCTAACTAACATTCCCTATAATTGCAATTCATTCCCTAATTACAATTCCCTTTGTTATTAAAAGAGAGCATTTTTTCAGCCAATATACCGTTACTTAGAAGGGAACGAATAGTCATCGGTATAGCGAAATCTGAATCCTTTCTCGCTAGCTGAAAATGAAGTGGAAATTGATTTGTTTATTCTTTGTTTTTGCTTATACAACAGACCCTGAAGGTACGTACGGTTATAAAATGATGGCTTGTCTTCCAATTCTTCAAGTTATCTAACAAGATGTCGATGGGTTAACAACGATTCCAGTTGTTTTATGAAGCCGAGTATAAAGTTTTTTACAGTTTTATTTCCAGATATTTTTCGGCGTACTAAAGCCATCCTCAGCTGGACAAATAACTGTGTTAAAAAGAGAAAGAAAGAAAGAAAGAAAGAAAGAAAGAAAGAAAGGTCTAATAGATGAAACATGTTTCATTCAAAGTCTTGGTGTAGTGTGTCGAAAGAGGTGTTTTTAAAAACGAAAACAGTTTAACATATAGCATGAAAAGAATATTCAGAGCAGAACATATTAATCACAAGAGACTAAAGCTTGAAATTGTTTCACAAAAGGATTTTTTCTCGCGACGATCTTTTCGTAGTACTCGATTCTGCAATATTGATGTTTGCTATATACACAATACGATTTTTCGTTCAACGTTCGTTCCAATCATCTTTGCGTTAAAAAATTGTCTCTCGCACAACGAGCATTAATTGCGAGAATAGTCTTCTTCACGGTTCCCTGCGCAATCTTGAAAGGTAGCCGTGCCTTTACATCGAAGCGAGACGACCGTTGAGCGTGCAATGATAGAAACCTTAATTTCACATCTACTTACAATTCTTCACAGGTATCTATCATTGCACGCTCAACGGTTGTCTCGCTTCGATGTAAGGGACGGCTGCCTTTCAAGATGGCGCAGGGAACCGTGAAGAAGACTATATAACAAAAMGTRAGAKRCAATCTTTCAAACRTTTTAACAATTCTTCAGCCGATCAGAACGGAGGTACTATTGAGACCTATTGAAATAATATAATAAGTGTTTTCCTTTTTTCAAGAACTCGATCCAAACGCTTTTGAAGGTGATATGATTTTGACACAAGAACAAAAAATGGCGGCCATTCATGGCGAAGATGTTGACATGTCGATGAAGCGAAAGGCCGTTAAGAATAGGAGATGGGCTGGTGGAGTACTAATATACGACATTGATCCAAAGCTTGGTGAGTATACAGTGTGTATTATATATATATATATATATATGTATTATACATTGATACAGCCTTTTGCAAAAATTATGAGAATTGTCGAAATATCTAAATATCACAATATCGAGTGCATGATGGGTAATCCCGCGTGATTCCCTTAGTCCCTTGTCTTTGTAGTTTAGTTGTTTTTTTTTGGCGACAGACTTATCCGTAGTTCTGAACATTTTCTCGATGTCAACAATGAATTATTCTAGCAAACCCGCGTGTTCCGGACAATATATGGATATGGATATTATGATATTTAGATATTTAGACAATTCTCATAATTTTTGCAAAGGGCTGTATATTGATAAATAACACACACACTATAATAAGAAGACAAAGARGAAGGGAAGAAGGGAAGGAAGCGAAGAACTGAAAAGGAATAGGATGGAAGGAACTGGGAAGGAAGGAATGGCGACAAAGGAAGGAAGGGAAAGAATTGCAAARCAAGCAGGGAAGCCGGAATGATCGCTGAAGTGAGCAGGGAAGCCAGGAAGCCAGGAAGAATTAGGAAGGAAGGCAGAAAAGAAGAAACTAAGGGAAGCCAAGAAGAGAGGCAAAAGAGGGAGAGAAGGTAACTCTATTTTATCTGAATATTGAGATAAAATGAATTATTTTCCTAGCTCAAGATACTACTGCAATGAAAGCAATCAAAGACGCCTTCATGGAATGGTCATCAAAGACTTGTATTACATTTAAAAAGCGAACCAATGAACGTGGATATGCTTATTTTAAGCCAGGAGTTGGGTCAGTCAAACCATAAACTTTATCGTTCAAGAATATTCTCATATGTCCACTTCCTAGYGCCAGTTTGGAAAGCAGTCATGAATGCCTTGAGTTTAGCTTGTAGCTGATAGATCTTTTTGCACATCTCTGGCAGTTATTCGCAGGATTCTATAATATGCATCATATTCAAAAGGGAATCTTTCGTTCTAAGTTGCATTCTTTTTTGCTTTCCCTTCCAATTCTATTTTAATCAGTATTTTATTCATTAGTTCTCAGAAATAAATGAGTTAATTCACATTTTTATAGCTGTTCCTCATATGTCGGCTACACAGGAAGCAAGCAATACATTAATTTAGCAAGAGGCTGCTGGAGTAGTGGTATCGTTGCTCATGAAATTGGTAAGACAAAGTACAGATTCACAATGTAACTATTTACACAGATAGCTTGATTACTGCGTTACATTTCCAGGTCACGCTCTCGGTTTCTACCACGAACAGTCACGCCCAGACCGTGACAACTACGTCACTATTCAGTTTGAGAATATCATTGGAAGTAAGTTGTTCTTGGAAACGTCATAATCATCATCATTATCATCATCATTTAGATCCATGCCGTTGGTTAGTTATACCAAATCTATTCACCTAAATTATTGTTGTTTTTGTCTTTTCATTGAGAAAATAAACACAACTTCCACAAGTACAGCCGAAGTACCATCGATTCGCTTGGTGTTCCGTACGACTATGGATCGATTATGCATTATGGATCAAGAGCTTTTAGTAAAAATGGTAGACCCACCATCATTTCTAAAAACTCTGGAGTAAGTTCATTGCAAAATCAAATATTATTGAGCATAATGATTGTGTATGATCATGCTATGATCGATTTATGCCGAACATTTTCCGTATTTATGCCGAAAGCTAACCGAATTTATGTCGAATGTATGTTGAATGTTTACGATATCTATGCCGAAAGCCAACCAAATTTATGCCGAATTTTAGCGAATGAATGCTGAATGTTTACCATGTTCATGCCGAATGCTAACCGAAAAGATCTCGAATGTTTATGGAATATCTGCCGAATATTTATCATATTCATTCCGAATGCTAACCGAAAAGATTCCGAATGCTTACCGAATATATGCTGAACATCTACCGAATGAATGTCGAAACGACTCAGTGGTGATACTGGAGAAAAACGCACTGCGCATGTCCACAGCTTTCCCGCCAGTGAGCGCGCGCGTCTTGAAAATCTGCCTAATTTATTTGTAAACAGAGCGCCTGGCGATTTTTGTGAAAGTTTTTTTTGACATTTATAAGCTCGTTAATAATAATAGATATATAAGATTCATATTTCCACCAATCTTTGTTCATGATATGTTCTTTTAGTATGAAGTTTCTATTTTTAACATGTCATTTCTATTTTGAGAAAATGAGGTTTTTCGTAGTGTTTTCTGCGTTGTCGCTGTAAATCGCCAGGCGCTATGTTTACAGATTTCAAGACGCGAGCGCCCACTGGCGGGAAAGCTGTGGGCATGCGCAGTGCGTTTTTCACCAGTGAATATAATAATGATAGAGCGCTTTTCACGTCCAACAGGTAACGCTTGGACAGAGAAAAGGGCTTAGCGCCATGGACATTAAAATGATGAAATTATTGTACAAGGGAGAGTGCACCTGGACTGGTGGAACAGGATCAGCATGTAAGTTGGTGGGAACTAGCGGAAAACTAGTGTGAGCTATGTCGGTGTTTCTAAAGAAAAAGTTGTGTGAAAAGATAAATTTAACACCGTAAAAAAAGGATGTGAAATAACTTACTGACGTTTCGGACGTTAAGGATTGAGTCCTTCGTCGGAGTAAAGACGAAGGATTGAAGTCCGAAACGTCAGTAAGTTATTTCACCTACTTTTTTTGCGGTGTTGAATTCATCTTTTTACATAACTGTCGTCATATAAGTGTTATGTTTAAAAAATAGGCAGTCGAAGACTGCATGTGGCTCAGATTTAGTAACTTCGAATACACTATCTTCASTATACAACGTTTTCTGAATTATCTGTATACGCTGCAAGGAACTGGAAACATCACGTGGCGATCAACCATTACGTTGTCTATGAATACACAACAGGCGGCGATTCCCAGGGGCCAAGGAACCTATTGTGATGGTTGATCATTTCTCCCGTGGGGCCTGACGCGGGGCACCCTGTTTCCCTGCCTACAGTAAACATATCTGGTTGAAAGATTCGGAAAAGGAATTTTTATCCACGACATGGAGCGGCCCTTAGAGCTTTAATTTAGCTATAATCAAAGACATCTTCCTGTATCTGTTGACTTATAAACTTATGATAAATTCTCGAACGTTTTTTCCGATAAAATAATTTCATTATCTAAACTGTTTTTTTACATCCATGTTTTAAAATTACTATTATTCGCCTGATTATAGTTTTGCAATAAAACCGAAAACTTGATAAGTTTTCCTTGATTTTTTTATTAATTTCATGCGGATTATCATTCATCCTCTTCAATTGTTAACATTCACKRTATTTAYATTCAATRATGTGTAAACTTTTATATCATCAAGAACGAAAATGTACATGGAACGTTCTAGAGGTCTTTGATTGTGTTCCGTTGAATTCCAGCAAATATCTGCCTGGTTTGTAAACTTACGTTAAGAATTTCAAGAGATATTTGTGCCGTGATGTTTATCCGAATGCTAATAATGTCTGTCTGATATAAGAACTGTACACCTAATGTTCCTGTGATGATTTGGAAAACAATAACGACGATTGAAGCTTGGTGAAACCCGTCACAGTACATCGAGTACATCGGTATTCGGCCGCAAACCAGCACTCAGCACCCGTCCCCACCCCCATCAAATAATRATTCCACTGAAGAATGATTATGCAAACCCTGTATCGTTTGCTAATTCCCGAGCTGAGCTCTGATTGGCTCGCTGATCCCTAAGGATTTTGKTGACGTCATATATTAGCATAGAACTTCACCGAATAGACTACCCCAATTAGACATTAGATATATAAGTGTCTTCATAGTACGATGGTCTAAGAGGGTAGCTAAAGGTATGCTCTAGTGGGCGGCTACCCCCTCACTCCCTGGCCTTTTGGTTAAGACTAAGTTTTATGTTCACTCGGGATAGCGTGGAAGGGCCGAAATCTCTAACCGTAACGTAAGCCGATTCGCCGCCTCAGCTTCATAGAATGTCTCGGGGGAATCGTCCCATCTTTTTAGTTTTTTTTTATTTTCATTATTTCTTATGTATTCAGGGGGGGTACATCTTCTCCTGAAGTGAAATTTCTGAGTTCGAGTCCTGCTTCTGGAATTTCTCTTTTTATCACATGTTTATTGTTTCTTTTTCGTTTGTTTCTTTTTTTTTTCTTTCTCTATTTTTCTTTTCTTCTTTTCTTTGCTGTTGTTACTTTGTTTGTTTTTCTCTACATATTGTCTTTTTTTTCAAAACATTTTAAAAACATATCAAGAACTCGCAAGGAACGCCTGCTAAAAGTGGATGGTTACGGTTCGATCACTAAACACGATGACATAGCGAAGAGAGGCCCCATAAAACGCCTTTCATCACAAAAATGCCAGCAATTATGAATCAAAGAAGTGTRCGATAATGCTACGAATGCAAACTGAATTATATGCCGAGTGTTTACCGAATGTTTACCGAGTATGTGCCGAATCTACACTGGAAAAAAACGCGCGCTTTAAAGGTTGTAAATTTGATGTAATTAAATGTAAATTTACATCAAATTTAAAGAATTTTGGACACTTACATCATATTYATATCAAATTTACAACCTTTAGAGCGCGCGATTTTTTTCTATCGCAAACCATAGTCACGTTTGCACWGAGAACRTGTTATATACATGGTATATATCAAAAAATAGGAAAACCGCTACCACYCAGGACCCTAGCTATACCTCGCCTTAATCATTTGACGCACTTGCCTTAGTTAAATTTCTGATGCTGGCAACTATTTTTCAAAGGCCATCTTGCGCATGTTTATTTATTCACCTTGTATTTTGTTATATTATTCAGCCTCATGCAAAGACAAAGACCCGCGATGTGGAAAATGGGTCAGACACTGTACCTACAACAGATATGTYATAGCAAATTGCAAGAARACATGCAATCAGATCTGTTGAGAAGCCAACAATGACTCTGAATACCAACCAACCGGTCGACTTAGCGGGGCGAACGAGAAACCTTTCAAAAGGCTGTAAAAACTGAATAAAGACATCTGGAATAGATCTGGAACTTTAATAAACCGGCCTGTTTACCTATTAAACGATCGACTGGATTAAGAAGTCTTAAATATATCTCTGTAACCTTTATTAATAAACCTTTTTATCAATAAGCCCAYCACTTAATAAAGAAATATACACTGTATAGACCTCACGTCTAGATACTTTGTGGACACCGAGTCTCCCTATAGCCAGTATATATGCAACACTAACTACCATGTCGCACAATGTTGCAGTAGTTGCCCGTGATTTTCCATGCGTTTTTACACGTTCTCTTTAACTACCTCCCATCCTTTCTTACAAATAACCACACAGTCCCTGATCTTTTAKCAATACTTCAATAAAACATAAATATTGCARGGTCATTCAGTGATTGTATGTTTTTGCAGCTTTTTGTCTRCGTCTTTTGCARTTTATTAATGTTGATCTTTCTTTAGATTCAAAATCSRTTCTTGTCAATCACGTGAGGTTGTATCGATTTTATATTTTATGTCATTAGTATTATTTGTTTAATTCGCAGCTGAAACGATCTTATACACTTTTATAAAAYGATTATAATGTTTGTATCGTCGGGTTATTCCGACACAATTCGTAAACGACATGAATTGGATASTGGTTTGCGCACTTTTCTYGGCGGTTGCTTTTGCAMCCAACCCAGAGGGTAAGAAAGAAGACGCTATTTTAACTAATTTTTGCACATTTATTTATCAAAACATTAAAATTCGAGTTCATATTTATGTAGAGAAACGTGTTTAAGACATTTGGTTTTCTAATTTTTGCTTTSAAAAGAAAATGAAACAGATCCCGATGTCTTTGAGGGTGAYATGATTCTGACACCAGAGCAGAAAATGGCTGCCGTCAACGGTTTGGATATCGATGCCTCTCTTGGACGAGGAGGAATGAAGAACAGAAGATGGCCTGGCGGMGTGCTTGTCTACCAAATTGACGATTCACTTGGTAAGTCAGTAAGTAATTGGTGTTAAGTTTATTAGTTTAATRCCTATTTAACGGTTTTTGACTGATTGCACCGTGCAACTGTACAAAATCTAAGTAGTAGTAATAATTTGTACTAAAAGTGGACATGAAGCAAGACTGTATTGAATGCTTCATTTGTATCAATTTACTTTGCGTACCGCATGCACGATTTACTAAATACAATTAAACAGCACCATTTAGTTTTTGTACCGTTGCACTGTTTAAATGCGATCACTCTACTCTAGTAAGAACAACGCGGTGATTCAAAGGTAGGTTTTGCTTCAGTTGCAGATTCAGTACAATTGTATGCTATTTTGATTTTGTACAATTTCACGGATTATAGTACTTAGCTCTACCATAATTAGAGTTTTAGCAAACTATCTTTATAATCCATCATATTATCACAGCTCAAAATCCAACGGCAATGAAGGCAATCAACGGAGCATTCAGAGAATGGTCCTCCAAGACWTGCATCACATTCAAGAAACGAACCAACGAAAGGGCATATCTCTCTTTCCAAGTTGGATCGAGGTATTAAATGTTTGCTATATCAGATAGAGAATGTATGTCGAATATATACCGAATGCATCTCGAATAAGCCGAATATATGCCGAATGAATCCCGGATGCATATCGAAAATAAGCCGAATATATGCCGAATGCATAGTGATTGTATGCCGTTAAATATTCCTTATTGATTACAGCTGCTCCTCGATGGTTGGATACCAGGGCATTAGTCGACAGCCAATCCATTTATCGAGTTTGTGCTGGCATGTTGGTACAGTAGTTCACGAAATAGGTATGTAGAGGATATGGTAATCAGGATAGAGAGGGACATTTGTCATTTATTTACTTCCATTCATTCTCAGTTATCATCCATTTCTCATTCAATCATTCCTTCACGCAATTATCGTTCGTTCTTCCTTTCACTTTACTCTTAAATCATGTTAAATTCCTAAGTGTATTTATAAATTCATGAGATACTTAAATATTGCGTTACTTCACTGCTCTAGGTCATGCACTCGGTTTCTACCACGAACAGTCACGACCAGACCGTGACAAGTATATCACAATCGTGCTAGACAATGTTCTCGACGGTAAGAGCTTATTTTCCAGGAAATGGTAGTCTGCGATGTAAACTATTTTAATAGTTTCCCGCTGTATTCTTCAGCCATATCTATACTTTTCTCTTTATTAAAGTAATGCTTTTTTAAAGGATTCAAGCATAATTTCAAAAAGTACGACCGAAGCACTATCGATTCGCTTGGCACGCCCTACGACTATRGATCGATCATGCATTATGGGCCAAAAGCCTTCAGTAAAAATAGGAAACCGACGATTATCCCAAAGAAGTCTGGGGTGAGTAATCTCGCTAAATTCGGTATTATAATCTAAAAAAATATTATCATACTGCCCTATTGCATAATWACGTCACACCAAAACATCCAATTGTTTTAACGCTAAGGATTATGGTTGCTAGAGGGGATCAGATCGACTGCATATCAAATAAAATGCACATTAGCAATTATTTATACACGATATTATCAAAATACGATTCGTTGAAGTTCTAATTTCATAGAGAATAATAATAGGTCCAAATATTTCCCCCCTTTCTGCGTATCTATACCCAATTTATACATACTGTGACGTTACGGGACGTTTAATTTACGCAAAGCGATCTTTCTTGTGTCAAACTACGCTGCGTTTACGTAAGGTGCTTTACGCAGGTTACCATTGGACAGAGGACAGAGCTGAGCAAAATTGACGCCAAACAAATGAACTTGATGTACAAGGAAGAGTGCAATGGAGGTGGCGGAGGAGGAGGGGGWGGCGGAGGATGTAAGTACACATATTCATGAGGGTAAAGAAAATAATGAAAAACTCATCTATATWTTTTTTACTTTTAGCTTCTTGTGCGGATAAAGATCGAAATTGCAAGCGTTGGTCAAATTACTGTCAAAAATACAAGTTCGTCAGAGAGAAATGCAAGAAGACGTGCAGGGAATGTTGAATGAATGTCAAGCAGATCCAAAAACGATAATTCATTAAACTAAATCAATGAAAACGTTTCATCTTCGCTATATTTTAGAGTAACAAAATAAGACTATTAAAGTGTGATAGTCAAATATATGACACATACACAAAAAAACAATACAATTAGAGCGTACTAAGGTGTATTAGTGTAATATCTATTCCACGAGGTTTTTGATTGCACTCTATTGAGTGGGTTAAAATGTCTAATGGCAACTGTTGTTGTTGTTTTATAGTAACGATAAGATAATGATCTGTCTAGAGAACGCAAAAAAGGGGCCATTAATAAGGCTTACTGCATGGAGCGGTTTTCATAAAACCCGTGAAACCGTACTTCTGGTGAAACAAAATATCAGTAGTCAATTAAACTACAAATTAATGTGTGATAAACCGAAACAACAACAGCAGCAACAGCAACAACAATAACAACGACAACAACAAAAGCAACAGCAACAACAATAACAACGACAACAACAACAACAACAACGACAACAACAACAACAATAACAACAACAACAACAACAACAACAACAACAACGACGACGACAACAACAACAACAACAACAACAACGACGACACAAAAACTTAGAAAAACGCGCAAATTAAAAAGCAATAAGTTATGTGTTTACGAAAACAAGTCAAAACTCTTTTCTAGAATTTTTGGGACTGCTTTTTTTACTAACTAGGAAAATAAGATTCGCAGTTCTTGTCGCTTGGCTCGGATGCCAATTTAAAGTAAAGAACCGCTTAGTCTTTTACATGATATATAACCAGTTTTATCAACAATTGTCACATATTGCTAAAACTATTGGTTATTACTTCGTAATTACAAGATCTTGTCATGTAGAGTTAATTAGCTTTCAATGCCAYTACACAGAAAAGGTTGATCGCCTAATCTCTTGAAGATTACGCGGCGTTTTAAGATATTACAACTCAGTATAAGGGTAGTTATTGAATTGTAGGCACAATATCACCTTGCTTTTCATAAATATTTAATAAACAAGAGAACACCTTTTAGTGCCATTTCAGTTCTTTTTACTAAACTCTCATTATAGTGCCAAAGCTGGGTGGTTTTAAAAGGATGATTAACTCTAAGAATGACAGGAGGAGCCGACGGGCTCTGTTCGTTTAGCATAACTGTTCTTGCTCGAATTTTTTCCTAGGAAAGGGATTTTGAGCTACATTGTTGACAATCTCACAAGCAAATATGGCGCCCTTCCTTCTTTAAAATAATTTTATTCCTGGCAAACGTTTTTAAGGTCAAAAAGGCTTATATAACGTTTTTATGGTCAAATACGGCTTACATTTTTTAGTTAGGAAATTTTTATTTTCCTGGCAAAAATTCTTATAAAGTATTCTTGCCTGGAGAGCTCTTTTGACCTGAATTTCTCGCTGGAAACCAGTTGTGACTTACAGCTGTCTGGGACATAAGAACAGATATATTTCTCCGAAGGAACCCGTCGGCTCCTTCTAGATTGAGGAAAGAATGTCGAAGGTTTTTCAGTTCGTGGTGCATTTTCATCACCTGAATAATGTTCCCTAAACAAGCTACCTACTCTTCAGTCGAAGCTTCTCAATTCAATTGACAGAAATATGAACACTCGTTTTGCAACGGAATATAACGGAATGGAAACGTTTTTAAGGCCCACTGCCAGTGCTTATTGAGACGTTTATGAAGCGCGATCAATATCTGAACCACCCTATAGCAATCTCTTGTGTGCGATTGGAGCGATATATATTGAAAACAAAAGGTCAGAGTTATCACTCCTGACTTATGAACTCAAAGCATTTCAATTGAGCGTCCTGTCCATGAAATATTAAAAAAGCTTTTTRTAATTCATAAAAATAGCAATACGTTTTAATTGACAATTTGAATTGAAATCATTTTCATTTGATGTGTTATGTCAAGCTTAATTTCGAGTATAAACATTGATAGAAATAAACTTTCTTTTGATAATTGCAGTCTTTTCACAATGAATTACGCGACCAAGAAATTTTGAAATTTTTTTGGAGTATTGTGTGTTTATCTGCGACTTAGTTWAAAACACTTAAATTTAGATAAATTTATATACAAAACTCTTAAAGTGAAGAGATTTTGTGTTCAAAAATGCCAAAAGTTGATTGATTGATACTGAGAAACTCACAGTTCGCCACAAGTCGAAGCAAAACCCCAAAACCAACAAGTTCCACGATATACAAGGGCTTTCGTCGTACGTGAWCCTTATATCATAAACTGTTTCTCTTGCCCACTTGATAAACAAAAAGGGGACGTGTACGGCATTTTTCGTATTAAATCTTCAAGAGATGTGTGCATGGGCGTAAGAGTAGTGTGAATTTTTGAACTGAATAAGATTTTAAACTTGAAACAAAAAGAAAAAAAACCTTTTTACCAGTTTGCTTCCAAGCTTCAAGATAGAACTCTTCTATTTTATTGGCGTCTCTTGGATACCATATTTAACGTTTGATATTTTAATATTTGTAGTCCMAAAAAGGAGAATGTCGTTGGTTTACAAAATTAAAAGTTTTACATTTTGAATTCAACGATTAATTTATCTGCTTTAACCACAATGATCGCCCTTCGTGAAAAGCCTACACTTGCTCATTAAATATCTATCATTTTGGCTTATAATACGTTGTTAAAATCTTTGTTATAGCTCCAAACAAATTGTYAAAGTGACAACTTAAACTCATTACTAAGACGCGAGGGAGATCTTATCGTAATGGCGGCTGAAGATAATTTTGAAGTCATCAAACATCAAACATGTGCTAATTGTTTAAGCATAATATGTGCAATTCAGATCGCTAGAACTTCACTTTGGTTAACCGCATAAAACCTGCCAGCCAGCCCACTATCAGAAGGCTCGAGTCACGTACGATCCGCTGTCATTATATAAGGAAGTACGAAGCTTTGTGTCAAAACGAACCAAGTCAGGAAAGAGCTACAACAACACTATCATAAAAATCTCAAGTAAGGGCTTATATATATTATTTTTATTCTTATCTTATTATTTTTAGTATAGTTTTAGACGTCTTTTCGTTTTATATGTGACAAAATGAAAATAGAAATAAGTTAAAATTAAAATCGTTTAAATGTATAATAGTACCACCGCAAGTTTAACAGTTCGGCCATATTTTCYTTGTGCCCAGATGGCAAGGAWKTCTCCGCCGTAAGCCTCAYWCAGCTACAARMCTTTTACTAGCTTTACGTCAATACTTTACCAATATTATATGAACAACTTTATTCTCTATGGACTGATAGCTCTGGTCAAAATTACCACACCCTTAAAAGACTTAGAATGAAAGGCGGCGAATGGGTTTTCGGTGGAAAAACAACTTAAATCCCACTCAAGTTTAACTAAGATTACTTATAATTTCAAGCCCTAAAAACATCAATTAAGTTTTTATAAGAAGAAAAAAATTACCAATCAATTAATCCAATTTTCCACCGACCAACCACTATGTTTTTAACACCGTTATGCGACCGATGTTTCCATATGTTTTCGATATTAATAAGAAGAGGGATGCGCTTAGAGTTGGTATTATGAGAAGATCAACTAAACTCTGGACATTCTAATCGGAAGTGTTGGGTGCATGAATAACACTTGGATTAAATAACGCTACATTTTCAAATTTTTGTAGAGTAAAAATAGAAAATCGCACAAGAATATTAATGTTTAGAGTCCATACGAAAGAGAATAGACTGTAAAAGTCGAAGACGACGTCGTAGATATAAGTATTGAACGATGATATCCGGATTGGATTCACCTTTTAGTTAGGGAGTGGTATTTGCTTTTTAAATAATGATTTTTATGACCGATTTAATCAGGTTTTTATATATTTGGACATTCGGTACCTGCAATTTATTTCAGTAATGCATAATTCATAACAAGAAATTTTCACATAAATGAACTCCTTCGCCATTAAACTCAGTGTTACCTCAAAAAATCCAAGATGGCGTCCAGTACTTCAAGATACTTAGGGCAAGACATTATGGCAATTTTGCTTGAAAATATATATAAACGTACATTCATTCTATCTCATTCATGCAGTCTCTTTCTTCTTTTCAGTTTTTAGTACAATACCAACATGAATTACAGAAAGGTTGTTGCACTGATGGYGCTTTGCTGTTTGGTCCTCGCTACAGCTCGAAAAATCGACAATSTGGACCTTAATGGTAAAGGATTAGACAGTGAAACCCCGCCCTACGACAAGCTGCATAATACAACCACCCCGCCATAGCGGCCAAATTTCAAAGTCCCTTTTAAGGCCATTTTTAGTGTCCCTTTAGAGGCCGTATTGGCGAGGTTCCGCTTTATGTACAATAAATATTAAATCACTCTGATTTTTGCGAACGTAATCTTATTCTATGTCTTATAAAATTTGTTTTCATTAGATTTATTGGACACTGAAACAAGGAAAAGAGGCATCGATTGCACATGCAACGGTAATGACGGAGAATACTGGTTTGGTGTGCAATCTTGCAATGGCAATGCAAAGCACGATTGCTCAAGCATTCTAGGAAGATGTTGCGTTTACTAGCGTGGACGCTTCATATATATATATCAATATATAAATAGATTTAAATTAGTGAAATTTAGTTTTTCAATGTATTCAATCAATAAAATATGAAGCGAAGACGGCGTGTTTTCAGTTAATTGCCCACGTTGGCTTAAGACATCTGAGCTCCCCGAATCACTTGTTAAGTGTAATCTTATAAAGTAATGGGCCATTTATTTACTATATTTTGTCCATAATCGTTATGTCAAAGGAAAGTAACTCTCTTGGCTAGCGATAATTAAGCAYCATTTTAGAGTGTTTTGACAACTAGTCTTTAAATCACCCAACGACCTCAATGGCCACACCCATTTATATATCGATTTGGTCCAATCTTAATGTTAAGCGATGGAAAGGTTTCTTTTTTCGTTATCATCATCTCGGAATTAATGTATTCTAAGTGCTAGTTTCTCTCAATATGCGGTGGACATGCGAGCGGAAAAAATTACTAGGGAAAATATTTGAGYTTGAAAGGAAAATGTTGATATCAACTTCAACTGGCTTTCGTTTTTTTTCGATCTGTTATGAAATCCCAAGTCCCATATCTTCTGTTTTTCTAAGAAAACGTAGCGAGYATTTTWRGAAAGGGTGAAAAAAATACTGATAAAATTGAAAAAAATGGACTTGTGGGTGGACTAACTCAGAATTGGTTAACTTATATGAAAGCAACTATCTGGTATAACTACCAGGAACAGGAGTACATGTGTTATTCTGCCAGGTACTATTATTACCAAGGTAGTATTATTACCGAACACAAACGGCAATATAACTAGTATTATTACATTAATTAAAGAAATGATCATACAGAAATCAAGAAATAGGTATTTTGACAAAGAGGTTGGGTAAACTCCCCTTTCGTTACAACCCAAAGAAAATCTACTCATCTCCATTCYCCCCATCAACTAAAATTAGCTAACAAAGAATAGTATTACATATACCTTTAATATAACTTATATTTTGTTGACACACTTTTACGATATTTTAATGTTTTTTTTTTGCTGTTTTGCTATGAATTCGCATAACGAAATATCGCTTATTCAATAATGCAAAATTATTTGAATCRTCATATGAACACAGGAAATCAAATGTAAAAAAACTGTAATTTTTTCATCACTTTTTCGTCTTTTTTTATTGTAAAAATTAACGAAATAGCGAAATAGCGAAACCGTTTTCTGTTAAAATTGCGAAGACATGAGAACAGCAAAATGCAAGCCCACACTACTTTAAAATCGCACAATTAATTAAATTTCTCGAAATTTTGCTGCATTTTTTCCGTAATAAACTTACCAAATATGATAAAGAAAAGATTTTTTTTGTTTCAATTTAGAAACCAAATTCCTTTTCCCTTTGACATAAAGCACACGAATTAAAAAGAAAACCAAGCATACGACAACCAGAGAAGACGTGTGGCTGTCATATCTAGAAATAAAAAAGAATTCCTTTGTTTTTCCTAAGAATTTTGGCGAATTGAATTTACCATACCCTGAGCGGCAAAGATTAAAACMCAGATACAATGCTACGAGCACATTTTGTTAAGCCGCTTCACTGATATCTCACAATAGCTGAACACTGACGCATGCTCAATCCTCGCTGATATGCGTCCCTTACTTCGTTCCCAAGGAAACGTCCACTCATTGCGCACGCCCAACAAGCATGCGCATTTCGATACAAAGCTCTGCGGAC